TCAGATGCCTTTGTGATTATTTTTCCTCAGTGAATGTCCCAGGGCTGTGCACACTCCTTTCTCTGCTTTTTAACCTTTCTAAAGATGGCTGTGTGATTATCTTTCCTCAGTGAGTGTCCCAGGGCTGTGCACACTCCTTTTCTCTGCTTTCTAAACCTTTCTGAAGATGGCTGTGTGATTATTTTTCCTCAGTGAGTGTCCAGGGCTGTGCACACTCCTTTTCTCTGCTTTCTAAACCTTTCTGAAGATGCCTTTGTGATTATTTTTCCTCCTGCCTGGTTTTTCAACACCCACAACAGCAGGATTCAACCTCTCCCTTTCCATTTCTGATCCCTGCAGGAATCCTGAGGACATTTAGGACAAGGGCTGAACCAGAACAAGACAAGTCAATATTGACTTTGGCTCCTATCTTCAAAGTTTCATCTTTAGCACAACAGCTGGACAACAGAAGTTTGGAACTCGTGGAATTGGAGTCCCTCAGGAATGTTTGGATAAGCAGGACTGGGAATGCCTTGCTGAGAGTGAGGTTTAAAAGCCATTTGTTCATCCAGCTGTGTTCAGCCTCTGCAGATCCCACACCTCCCTTCCCTGGCAGGCTGCCCACGCCTGAGAATTCCCAAGAGGAAAAATTCCCAGCTGTGGCTGTCCCTGAGCAATGGCTCTGAGGAAAAATGGGAGAAGCCAAAGGATCCAGCCAAGGATGCCAAACACAACCTGCAGCACAGCCAAGAGATTTCCAGCTATTGCTGAGACCTCCAAGCAGCATTTCCAGAATCATCATCCTGGGAGAGCTCCTGGCTTTGGATCGATGTCAGGAACAGGCTGGAGAGGGGCTGGGGACACAACCCTGAGAGGAGCCCTGAGGGAGCTGGGGGGCTCCCCTGGAGAAAAGGAGCCTCAGGGCTGCCCCCAGCACTGCACAGCTCCTGAAAGGGGCCTGTGCTCAGCTGGGCTGGGCTCTGCCTCCAGCAGCACTGCCACAGCCACAGCACAGCCCGAGCTGGGCCGAGGGAAATTCAGGCTGGAGAGCAGGAAAAAGCTTTTCCATCAGGGGGATAAAGCTCTGGGATGGCTGCCCGGGGAGGGGGTGCAGGCACCATCCCTGGGGGTGTTTGACCAGCCTGGATGTGGCACTGGGGCCAGGCTCTGCCTGAGCTGCTGGGCTGGATGGACTCCATGGTCTCTCCCAACCCAGTCACTGTGATCAGGTCTGGCTCCCCCAGGCTTTGCTCCCAAAATCTCTGGGGCAATCCCGTTTTAAAGGACTTTACACCACGAAAACTGAGGGATCCTTGGGGTGTTTCCAACAAGCATAAAGGAAAAGAAAGGAATTCTGGAGACTGAAAACCACAGAGCTGGGAAGATCATCTGGAGGAGCTGGCACGAGGTGGTTCAGCACCTTGAGCAGCCACATCCTGAAAGCCTCCAGGGACTGCACCACATCCAGGGAATGATGGTCCCAGGGAATGATGGTTCTCACTGGAAAAAATGGCATTTTTCCATTGGGATGAACCTTCCTGGGGAGGCTGTTCCAGGGAATGATGGTTCTCACTGGAAAAAATGGCATTTTTCCATTGGGATGAACCTTCCCAGTGCCCCTTGGCCTCTCCTGCCCTGGTGTTTGTAAGGTTTGGAAAGATGGAAAAAGGACAGAAGAAGAAGAGCAAACCACAAACCACCTCTATTTGACTTTTTTTCATTTTTCCAATCCTTACAAACACCAGGGCATGGAATAGCTGTGGAGAAAATGGAGGAGCAACTCCTGAAAATCTGGAAGAGAACTGGGAGTAAGAAAATAATCCTGGAAAGTTTGGAGGAAAATTTAGGAAAATCGGGAATTAAAGAAAACTTGGAAATTCTGCAGGAGAACTGAGAGGTGAGGAAGAAAACTGGGGGTTTTCCTGGAGGAGAACTGGGAGCTAAGAAAACAAAAGAAAACATAGAAATTCTGCAAGAAAACTGAGAGGTGAAGAATGAAACCTGACAAGCCTGGAGGAGAACTGGGAGCTAAGAAAACAAACCTGGGAGCTCTGGAAGAGAACTGGGAGTAAGAAAAAACCCCAAAAAGTTTGGAAGAAAATTTAAGAGAATTGTGGGAGTCAGGAAAACAAACCTGGGAACTCTGGAAGAGAACTGGCAGCAAGAAAAGAATCCTGAAAAGTTTGGGAAAATAATTTAGGAGAATTGGGAATGAAAGAAAACCTGGAAATTCTGCAGGAAAACTGAGAGGTGAGGAAGAAAACTGGGAGTTTTCCTGGAGGAGAACTGGGAGCTAAGAAAACAAACCTGGGAACTCTGGAAGAGAATTGGGAAATAAGAAAAGAGTCCTGAAAAGTTTGGAAGAAAATGTAGGAGAATCAGGAAGAAAAGAAAACCTGGAAATTCTGCAGGAGAACTGGGAAGTGAGGAAGAAAACTGGGAGTTTTCCTGGAGGAGAACTGGGAGCTAAGAAAACAAACCTGGGAACTCTGGAAGAGAATTGGGAAATAAGAAAAGAGTCCTGAAAAGTTTGGAAGAAAATGTAGGAGAATCAGGAAGAAAAGAAAACCTGGAAATTCTGCAGGAGAACTGGGAAGTGAGGAAGAAAACTGGGAGTTTTCCTGGAGCAAAACTGGGAGCTAAGAAAACAAACCTGGGAACTCTGGAAGAGAATTGGGAAATAAGAAGAGAAAATCTGGAAATTCTGCAGGAAAACTGAGAGGTGAGGAATGAAACCTGACAATCCTGGAAGAGAACTGGGAGTCAGGAAAAAAAAACAAACTGGGAACTCTGGAAGAGAATTGGGAAATGAGAAAAGAGTCCTGAAAAGTTTGGAAGAAAATTTAAGAGACTTGGGAAATAAGAAAACCTGGAAATTGTGCAGGAAAACTGGGAAGTGAAGAATGAAACCCGACAATCCTGGAGGAGAACTGGGAGCTAAGAAAACAAACCTGGGAGCTCTGGAAGAGAACTGGGAGTAAGAAAAAACCCCAAAAAGTTTGGAAGAAAATTTAAGAGAATTGGAAAAAAAAAACCTGGAAATTGTGCAGGAAAACTGGGAGGGGAGGAATGAAACCTGACAAGCCTGGAGGAGAACTGGGAGTCAGGAAAACAAACCTGGGAACTCTGGAGGAGAACTGGGAGCTCAGGAACAAATGAGGTTGGAGGAAATGGAATGAGGGGGAAAAAATTCCCTTCTCAATGGTTATGTAAGGGCTGCTGCTGGAGCTCTACAAATAGAACCTTCCAGGTGTCAAAGTGGGGGAAAACTCCCAAAATCCAGGGTTTTTGGGGCTGGCTGGAGTGGCCAGGCTGGGGCAGGGAGGGACAATTCCCACCTGCTCCAGCCTCCCTCCAAACCCAGGCAGGGAGGGAGAGCCTGCTGCCAAAAATGGAATTTGCAAGGAAGGAAGGAAATGGAGCTGAGAATTTGCCCAGAAATAGAAACTGTGGAGCCACTGAGCCAAGTGCCAGTGCTGCTGGGAGGGGCTGGAAGGATGAGGCAGAGCCCGGCCTGTGGGAGATGGAGCTATGGGAAAAGAGGGATTTCCAGGGAGAGCAGAGGGCAGCTTTTAGGGATGGAGTGTGCAGTGAAAAACCCTTCCCAGGTGCCAGCCCTGAGGGCTGAGGGGTTCATGGAGGGATGTGAGTGGCAGGAAAGGAGTCCTGGGATCTGCAGCTCAGGGTCAGGGATAAGGGAAAAGGGGCTGGGGCTGTCCCACGTCCCTACAGGGCAGCAGAACTTCCCCATCCTGTGAGCCCAGGGCACCCTCAGCCTCCTCCTGCAATATCTGGGGGGTTTTGGGGTGGCAGGCACCCAGAAATGATGGAATAAACCCTTCAGCAGCCAGCCCTGCTAGGAGACAGGTGGAATTATCCCAAGGAAAATTCCCCATTTTGTCACAGCCCAGGCAGGATGTCCCTGCCAGGACTGTGGGGATGTCCCCAAAGCCCCAAAACACTGGGATTGCAGAGTGGGGGATGCCAGGGGTCACCCCAGGGGGACACAAAGGGACATTCCCACAGCAGCTGGGAGCTCACACAGCCTGGGGCTGTCCCAGGGCTGCAGAACTTCCCCATCCTGTGATCCCAGGGCACCCTCAGCCTCCTCCTGGAACATCTGGGGGGTTTTGGGGTGACCCAGAAATGATGGAATAACCCTTCAGCACCCAGCCCTGCTAGGACAGAGGGGCAATTATCCCAGGATGTCCCCTGCCAGGATTGTGGGGATGCCCCCAAACCCCCAGGATTGCAGAGTGGGGGATGCCAGGGGTCACCCCAGGGGGACACAAAAGGGCCGACCCCTGTGGGACACCCCAATCCCCACACCCAGGATGCCAGGGTGGGGAACCCTGCAGCGGGTGACCCCAAATCCCTTTACAAAAGGATACCTGCCCCTCCATCCCTGATTCCAGGTCCCACAGCCCGGGATCACCGCGACGGGATCAGCCCAGCTCCCCCCACCAGGGGCACCCCGTTATTCCCGGTCTGTCCGGGCACGCAGCTCCCCCCGGGGATGTGACAGGGGCAGGGACAGCTGTCCCCTCGGGGCCCTGGGTGTCCCTGTCCCCTCGGGGCCCTGGGTGTCCCCTCGGGGCCCCGGGTGTCCCTGTCCCCTCAGAGCCCCGGGTGTCCCTGTCCCCTCAGGGCCCCGGGTGTCCCCTCAGAGCCCCGGGTGTCCCCTCAGAGCCCTGGGTGTCCCTGTCCCCTCAGAGCCCCGGGTGTCCCCTCAGGGCCCCGGGTGTCCCTGTCCCCTCAGGGCCCCGGGTGTCCCCTCAGGGCCCCGGGTGTCCCCTCAGAGCCCTGGGTGTCCCCTCAGAGCCCTGTCCCGCTCCCCGCACCCCTCAGGGCCTTAGGAACGGGGCTGTCCCTGTCTCAGTCCCCCTGAGATGGCGATGCCTCGCTCCCCGCCCCTCGGAGCCCTCAGGGTCGGGGCTGCCCCGGTCCCTTCCCGGCCTCGGGGTCACCGCCACTCACCCGCCGCCCGCGGCCTGCCCGGCAGCTGCACGAAGCGGTTGAGGATGCCTCCCCCGCCGCCATCGCCGCCGCCCGCGGCGCCGCCCGCGCCCTCCCCGAGCCCGTCCCGGGCCGCGGCCGCCGCCGACATGGCCCGTCCGCTGCCTGAGGGAAGGAGCGCCAGCCGCCAATCAGCGCCCAGCTTCTTCGGCCGCAGCCTATCAGCCGCGGGCTTGTTGGCAGGTGCGGGGAGGCTGCGGCGAGAGCGCCGCTGTCGGGAGAGCCGAGCGCTCGATCCAGGCTGGAGCAATAGAGCGCCGAGAGCGGGGGCGAGGGGACGTTCCCGGGGCCGTTCCCGGGGCCCCTCACGGCGACATCCGCGGGGGCTTCGGCGGGGGCCGCGGCGCCCCCCGAGCCCTCGGCGAAGCTCCGGGCGCCGTGCGGGCTTGGCGCGAGCGTCGCGAGCGGCGGCGCGGCGCGGGCGGAACGTTGGTGCGCGAGCGGAACGTTGGTGCGGCGGCCCCGCGTTTCCCGGGCCGCGGCGGGAGGGCGGGACCAAAATGGCGGCGCCCAGCGCCGGGGGAGCGGCGGCGGCGGCGGCGGGCGGGAGCCGAGCGCGGCCCGGCCCCGTCACCCCCCGGCAGATCCGCGACCTCATCGACGGCGGCATCGCCTCCGAGGGGCCCGCGCCCGGAGGGTGAGGCCCGGCCGTGTGAGGGGAGCGGGGAGCGCTCGGTGCTGCCCGGGGGAGCGGGGCTTGGGACTGGGGGGGGTGGCGGGAATGGAGGGCGGGGGAAGGAGCTGGGAACCGGAGCGGGCACTGGTGGGACTGGGAGTACTGGGAACACTGGGGGTTACTGGGAGCGACTGGGAGCCGGGGTGATGGGAGCGGGCACTGGGAGGACTGGGGGGCACTGGGAGGACTGGGGGGCACTGGGAGGAAGCAGTGGAAACAGGTACTGGGAGGTTACTGGGAGGGCACTGGGGATACTGGGAGGGCGCTGGGGGGGTACTGAGGCTACTGGGGGGGATTGGGAGGATATTGGGGTTACTGGGAGGGTACAGAGGGCACTGGGAGGATATTGGGGGCACTGGGAGGGTAACTGGGAGTACTGGGAGGGCACTGGGAGGATATTGGGGGCACTGTGAGGGTAACTGGGAGTACTGGGAGGGTGCTGGGAGGATATTGGGGGCACTGGGAAGTTACTGGGAGGGCACTGGGAGTGGCAGGGGTTACTGGGGGGCACTGGGAGCACTGGAAGGAAGCAGTGGAAAAAGGTACTGGGGCACTGGGAGGGCACTGGGGGGGCACTGAGGCTACTGGGGGGGACGACTGGGAGCACTGGGAGAATATTGGGAGCACTGGGAAGTTACTGGGAGGGCACTGGGAGGGTCCTGGAGTTACTGGGAGGCACTGGGGGGGGCACTGGGGACACTGGGAGGATATTGGGGGCACTTAGAGGGTAACTGGGGTTACTGGGAGGGTACTGAGGTTACTGGGGGGCACTGGGAGGATGTTGGGGGCACTGAAATGTTACGGGGAGGGCATTGAGGGTACTGGGAGGATATTGGGAGGGCACTGGGAGGGTAACTGGGGTTACTGGGAGGATACTGGAGGCACTGGGAGTGCCAGGGGTTACTGGGAGCCCTGGGAGGGCACTGGGGTTACTGGGAGGCACTGGGGGCACTGGGAGGCACTGTGCTTTGGTGTTAACCCTGTTCCCAAAGTCCAGCATTTCCCCAAATCCTGCCTTTTCCTAAAATCCAGGCTCTCTTTAAAGCCCTGCCTTTTGCCAAAACCCAGTCTCTCCCTAAAACCCAGCCTTTTCCTAGACTCCAGCATTTTCCCAAAGTCCACTCTCTTCTCTCTCCCTGAAATCCAGCTTTTTCCTAAATCTAATCTTTTCCTAAATCCAGTCTCTCCCTAAAATCCAACCTTTTCCTTAAATCCAACCTTTTCCTTGATCCAGTCTCTCCCTAAAATTCAGCATTTTTCTAATTCCAGCCTCTTCCTAAAATCCAGCCTGTTCCCAATCCCAGCCTTTCCCAATCCCAGCCTTTCCCAGGATATTCCTGGCTGACCTTTCCCAAACCCAGCCTTTCCCAAAACTCCAACATTTTCCCAATCCCAGCCTGTTCCCAATCCCAGCCTTTCCTGGGATATCCTGGCTGACTTTTCCCAAACCTGACCTTTCCCAAACCCAGCCTGTTCCCAAACCCAGCCTTTTCCAAACCTAACCTTTCCCAATCCCAGCCCTTCCCAAACGCAGCCTTTTCCCAAATCTGACTTTTCCCAATCCCAGCCTTTCCCAGGATATCCTGGCTGCCCTCTCCCAATCCCAGCCCATCCCAGTTTCCTGGCTGCCCTCTCCCAGTCCCAGCTTTCCCAGTTTCCTGGCTGCCCTCTCCCCTCAGGAAGGACTCGTCGCGGTGCTCGGAGCAGGCCCGTGGCCCTTCCCAGGGGGAAGCTCTTGCCCTGGAATCTGCCAGCAGGGAAGCCTACTTCAGCAGAGTGGAAACCTTCACCATATCCTTTGGGGTGCCGGCAGTTCCAGCTGGGAATTGTGGGGGCAGAGGGGTGGCTGATCCCGTTCCTGCCCTGCAGGGATGTCCTGAATTCCAGCCTGGTCCCGAGAGCTGTCCAAGGGCTCCGGGGCTCTGGGGCTGTGCCCATTCCCTGGGAATGCTCGGTGCCCCGGCACCTTCTAGGGAGGAGCCTTTCCCTAAAATCCTGCCTCTTCCTAAATCCATTCTTTCCCTAAAATCCAGCCTTTCCCTAAAATCCAGCCTTTCCCTAAAATCCTGCCTTTCCCTAAATCAAACCTTGTCCTGAAATCCATTCTTTTCCTAAAATCCATTCTTTTCCTAAAATCCATTCTTTTCCTAAATCCATTCTTTTCCTTAAATCCAGCCTTTTCCTGAAATCCAGCCTTTTCCTGAAATCCAGCCTTTCCCTCTAATCCAGCTTTTCCCTAAATCAAACCTTGTCCTGAAATCCATTCTTTTCCTTAAATCCAGCCTTTCCCTGAAATCCAGCCTTTCCCTGAAATCCAGCCTTTCCCTGAAATCCAGCCTTTCCCTGAAATCCAGCCTTTCCCTGAAATCCAGCCTTTCCCTGAAATCCAGCCTTTCCCTGAAATCCAGCCTTTCCCTGAAATCCAGCCTTTCCCTGAAATCCAGCCTTTCCCTGAAATCCAGCCTTTCCCTGAAATCCAGCCTTTCCCTGAAATCCAGCCTTTCCCTAAATCAAACCTTTTCCTAAAATCCAGCCTCTTCCTACAACCCCACCTTCTCTTAAATGCAGCCTTTTCCTAAAATCCAACTTCTTCCTGAAATCCAGCCTTTCCCTTAAATCCAGCCTTTGCCTAAATCAGACTTTTCCTAAAATCCCACCTTTTTCTAAAATGCAGCCATTTCCTAAATCCAGCCATTTCCTAAAATCCAACCTCTTCCTGAAATCCATCCTTTTCCTAAATCCAGCCTTTTCCTAAAGTCCAGGTTTCTCCTAAATGCAACCTTTTCCTAAAATCCAGCCTCTTCCTATAATCCAGCCTCTTCCTGAAATCCAACCTTTTTCTAAAGTCCCACCATTTTCTGAAATCCATCCTTTTCCTAAATCCATCCTGTTCCTGTAATCCAGCCATTTCCTAAAATCCCGCCTTTTCCTGAAATCCCATCTTCTCCTCAAATCCCGCCTCTTCCTAAAATCCTACCTCTTCCTATAATCCAGCCTTTTTGTAAATTCAGCCTTTTCCTAAAACCCAACCTCTTCCTCAAATGCAGCCTTTTCCTAAATGCAGCCTTTTCCTGTAATCCAAACTTTTCCTCTAATTCACCCTTTTCCTAAATCCAAGCTTTTCCTATAATCCAGCCTTTTCCTATAATCCACCCTTTTCCTAAATCCAACCTTTTCGTAAAATCCAGCCTCTTCCCAAACCCCGCCTGTTCCTATAATCCAAGTTTTTCCTATAATCCACCCTTTTCGGAAATCCCACCTTCTCCTCAAATCCCACCTCTTCCTCAAATCCAGTCTTTTCCCAAACCCTGTCTGTTCCTATAATCAAAGTTCCTAAATCCACCCTTTTCCCAAACCCCACCTGTTCCTGTAATCCAAGTTTTTCCTAAATCCAACCTCTTCCTATAATCCAACCTTTTCCTATAATCCACCGTTTTCCTATAACCCAACCTTTTCCTAAATCCAACCTTTTTGTAAGATCCAGCCTTTTCCCAATCCCCCCCCGTTCCTATATCCAACTTTTCCCATAACCCCCCCATTTCCCAATCCCCACCCGTTCCTCCCTCCCCTGGCCCATCTCCCGCCGTGCTCCCTGTCCCTGTGTGCCCTCCTGCCCCAGCTGCATCCCGCTCCCCTCTCTGGGCACTCCCCGACCCCACAAATTTGGGTGCAGGCTCCTTGACGGGCAGACCCGCAGCGCTGGGCGGGCAAGCCGGCGGCGCTGTCGCCGCTGGTGTGCGCGCGCTTCGGCTGGCGCAGCGTGGAGAGCGACCTGCTCAGGTGCTCCAGCTGCCAGGCCTACCTGTGCGCCAGCCTGCAGCTGGCCCCCGAGCCCCGCGCCTGTGAGTGCGGCTGGGACTGGGGCTGGGGGGCTGGGGGGCTGGGGCACGGGTGGGATAATCGATCCTGTTTGGTGATTGGGATGGGATAATCAATCCTGTTTTGTGTTTGGGATAATCAGCCCTGTTTTGTGTTTGGGATGGGATAATCGATCCTGTTTTGTATTGGGATAATCAATCCTGTTTTGTGTTTGGGATGGGATAATCGATCCTGTTGGGGTGTGGGATAATCAATCCTGTTTTATTTTGGGATAATCAATATCCTGTTGGGGGATGGAATAATCAATCCTGTTGGGGGGTGGGATAATCAATCCTGTTTTGTGTTGGGTCTGGGATAATCTATCCCGTTTTGTGTTGGGGTGTGGGATAATCAATCCTGTTGGGGCCTGTGGGATAATCAATCCTGGTTTGTGTTTGGGATGGGATAATCAATCCTGTTTTGTGTTTGGGATGGGATAATCGATCCTGTTGGGGTGTGGGATAATCAATCCTGTTGGGGCCTGTGGGATAATCAATCCTGGTTTGTGTTTGGGATGGGATCATTGATCCTGTTTTGTGTTTGGGGGTGGAATAATTGATCCTGTTTTGTGTTGGGGGGTGGGATAATCAATCCTGTTTTGTGTTTGGGATGGGATAATCGATCCTGTTTGGTGATTGGGATGGGATAATCAATCCTGTTTTGTGTTTGGGATAATCAGCCCTGTTTTGTGTTTGGGATGGGATAATCGATCCTGTTGGGGTGTGGGATAATCAATCCTGTTTTATTTTGGGATAATCAATATCCTGTTGGGGGATGGAATAATCAATCCTGTTGGGGGGTGGGATAATCAATCCTGTTTTGTGTTTGGGATGGGATAATCGATCCCGTTTTGTATTGGGGTGTGGGATAATCAATCCTGTTGGGGCCTGTGGGATAATCAATCCTGTTTTGTGTTGGGTCTGGGATAATCAGTCCTGTTGGGGGCTGTGGGGTAATTGATCCCGTTTTATGTTTGGGGTGGGATAATTGATCCTGTTTGTGTTGGGGGGTGGGATAGCCAATCCTGTTTTGTGTTGGGGGCTGTGGGATAATTGATCCTATTTTGTGTTGGAGAGTTCCAGCTGGGAGAGGTTGTGGAATTGTCAGGAGTTTGGGTTGGGAGGGGTCTTAAAGGTCCTCCTGTTCTGTCCTGGTGTCCAGGGAATGGTGGGCCCAGGGAATGGTGGTCTCAAGGAGTGATGGTCTCAAGGACTGATGGTTTCAAGGAATGGTGGTCTTAGGAAATGCTGGTTCCAAGGAATGGTGGTCTCAGGGAATAATGGTGGTCCCAGGGAATGGTGGTCCCAGGGAATGGTGGTTCCAAGGAATGCTGGTTCCGAGGAATTATGTTTTCAGGGAGTGATGGTCCCAGGGACTGATGATTCCAAGGAATTATGGTTTTAGGGAATTATGTTTTCAGGGAACGATGGTTCCAGGGGATGATGATCCCAGGGAGTGATGGTCCCAGAGACTGATGATTCCATGGAATTATGATTTCAGGGAATGATGATTTCAGGGAATGCTGGTTCCGAGGAATTATGTTTTCAGGGAACGATGGTTCCAGGGGATGATGATCCCAGGGAGTGATGGTCCCAGGGAGTGATGATCTTGAGGAACAGTGGTTCTGAGGAATGATGTTTTCAGGGAATGATGATCCCAAGGAGTGATGATCCCAGGGAGTGATGGTCCTAAGGAATGGTGGTTGCCAGGAATGATGTTTTCAGGGAATGATGGTGCCAGGAATGATGGCTCCAAGGAGTGATGATCCCAGGGAATGATGGTCCTAAGGAATGGTGGTTGCCAGGAATGATGTTTTCAGGGAATGATGGTGCCAGGAATGATGGCTCCAAGGAGTGATGATCCTAAGCAATGATGGTCCCAGAGAATGATGGAATTCTCACTGTAAAAAATGCCTTTTTTATGCTGGGATAAAACCTCTGCCAGCACCCCCTGTCCCCCCTGCTCCGTGTCCTCTCCACGGAAAGGAGACCCTCCATCCTCTTTGCACCATCCTTTAGGGACTGGAAAACCCCAGGGAGGTTCCAAACCTCAAATCAGACCTAGGGAATGATCCAAAACCACCTGGAACACTTCCAGGCTTGGGGCACCGATCACCTCTTGGAATCTTCCAGAGCTGGATCGTCTTGGCAGAGAAAAAGTTGCTCATGTTGAGCCATTCCCATGCTGGAATTCCTTGCCACAGGATTCCAGGGAGCAGAGCTCAGCACCTCCCTCCTGCAGAAGGTGCAGAGCTCCCCCCTCATCCTCCTTTTCTCCAAACAATCCCCAGGCTCTCAGCCTCTTCCCAGGTTTTCCATTTTTCCAGCCTCGTTGCCCTCTGGATGCATTTAAGGATTTGAAAATCCTTTTAAAATTTTCTTTTCTTTCCCAGTTCCTGGATCTGCTTCCCTGATCCTCCACTGAATTTTTCCAGTGTGGAAAAATTGGTGGTTGCTGCTCACCAAAACCATTCAGGCAGAAATTACATAGTGAGATTTAATTAATAAACCCCTTATTAACCCACGAGGCAGTGTCATCCCCACTTGTCAACTTTCCTGGCTGCAATCCCCCTGGAAGTGGAGAGGGAGCACATTCCAGGTGGGAATACTGAGCCTCTCCTTTTGGGTCACTCAATATCAACATTCCCTATTTATTCAGATTATCTCTGTTAAATAAACCTTGGCCTAATTATTCCATTGGAAATCACGGGGTAGAAAAACCTAAAATAATCAAAGATTAGGAAGAAGGCATCGAAAAACAAATTGAAAAAGAAATTATTTGCAAGTGAAATTAAATGTCAGATTTTTTTTCCTTTTTTTTTTGGGGAAGTTTGATTTCCAGACACGGCTGGGATTTGGCTCCTTCAGGCAGGGTGGAGGGATCAGCTCAGCCAGGGGTTGGCAGCATCCCAGGAGGAAAATCTGGCAGGATCCAGCAGGTTTTGTGCCGTGGTTGGCTTGGGCTGCTTCCCCACAGGCTGCCCTGCTCCTGTGCCTGGGAAAGGGAGGATTTTGGCAGTGGGCAGGTGGAGCTGCTGAGGTGACATCTGCTCCTCTGGGGAACCTGCAGCTCCTCTTGGTGGGAAAAAGGGGCAGTTCTGATGCTGGAATCCTGGATGCTGAGAATTTTGAGCTTTCTGTGCTGAAAAGGCACACAAAGTTTAAAAATCTCAGCGTGCAGGACTCCAGCAGTGTGAGGTGAGGCTCCAGGCTGTGCAGGCTGCAGCATCCTGGGAAATCCTGGGAGAACATCCCAGGGAAACTCTGCCCCACCTGGCCTGGCTTTCCTGGGCAGCTGGCTGGGCAGGGAGTTATCCCTGAGTTTTGTTTCCTGCAGACAAGGAGCGCTGTGAGGAGCTCAGGAAGGCCCTGAGCACTGCCCACGAGAAGTTCTGCTTCTGGCCAGACAGCCCCTGCCCAGGTGGGTGCCTCACATCCCTGCAATATTCCCATTTTTATTCCCTTTCCATTGTTGTTCCTGCCATCACACTCTGCTGTTCCCCTGCCCAGGTGGGTACCTCACTTTCCTGCAATATTCCCATTTTTATTCCCTTTTCGTTGTTCCTGCCATCACACTCTGCTGTTCCCCTGCCCAGGTGGGTACCTCACTTTCCTGCAATATTCCCATTTTTATTCCCTTTCCATTGTTGTTCCTGCCATCACACTCTGCTGTTCCCCTGCCCAGGTGGGTACCTCACTTTCCTGCAATATTCCCATTTTTATTCCCTTTTTTTTGTTGTTCCTGCCATCACACTCTGCTGTTCCCAGTGGGAATGATGGAACACAACAGGAAAGCAACATCCCTGAGCAGCAAATGGAAGCCCCAGGGCTGTATCCTGCTTTTCCTGACCTTTGGGTGCCTCTGGAGCACTTAAAATGCTTTTGGGTTCAAATTAAAATGCTGCTGGGAGGGAGGCTGGCTGTCATGGAATGCTCAGAGAGGGACAGAGCCTGTCCTGGGAGCTGTGCTGCTTGGGAATGCTGCGGAGGGAAAAGGCTGGGCTGAGCTTTTCCTGGAAAAGCCAGGAAAATAATCATGGAATTGTTGGGGTTGGAAGGGACCTGAGAGCCCCTCCAGTGGCAGGGACACCTCCCACCATCCCAGGCTGCTCCAAACCCCCTAAACTTTTCCTCCTTTCTGTCACTCCCTCTCACCCCATCCTGCATTTCCATGGGGATCCTGGCTGGGCTGCCTTTCCCTGGGGGATGGGGAGGGTTGGCAGTGCTGAGCAGAGCTCCCTGCCCTCCCCAGATCGCTTTGCCAGGCTGCTGGTGGACGAGCCCCGCGTCCTGCTCCAGGATTTCCTGGATCGCTTCCAGAGCCTGTGTCAGCTCGAGCTGCAGCTGCCCTCCCTCAAGCCAGAAGACCTGAAAAACATGGTGAGTTCCCTCCTGCTCCCAAAACCTGCAGCATTCCAGGCTCCAGGGACCAGCCTGGGCCCACCCAAAACCAGGAATTTCAGGTGGGAGGGATCTGCTCCCACCTTGGTTTTTGCCCCTGGACGTTCCCATGTGGTGGTTCCACCATGGAAATGTGTCAGGAGGAGTTTGGAATGGCTCATCAGCTGGGAAGGGTGGCTGCTTCCCACTCTGGACCTTTCCCAGTGTCCAGGCTGCTCTGTGGGGGCTGGGAGAGGGGATCTGGGATCCCCCAGACTCCTTTGGGAGCTCTCCAGCACTCCCTGAGAAGGGGCAGCCCACGGATCACTCCTTTAGCTGGGATGGCTGGAGACAGGAATTTGGGATAGCCACCCTGAAGCTGAGGTGTGGGCAGAGACCTGGGAAGGTGAAGGAGCCCGAGGAGCAGGAAAAGCCAGGAAAAGTGTGGGATTGTCACCCTGCAGGAGGCTGTGGTGGCCCTGCTGTGCTGCAGCCAGGTCTGGCTGCTTGGAGCCCCCTCTGCCAGGGAGCAGGCAGGAGCTGAGGGGCATCCAGGGAATCTCCAGGGAACCTTCATCCGGGGCTGGGTGGGCTCAGAAAGCACCAGAGACTCCCAAAGGCAGGGCAGGAATGGGAGCTGCTCCTCTGCCCTGGGCAGATTGCATGGGATGGGGAGCCAGGGGCAGGGAAAATGGCTCAGAGTGGCTTTGAACCAGAGCCAGTGCAATTCCAGGGGTGCCAAAGGGATTGTTCTCCACATGGGAGTAAAACCAGTGCAATTCCAGGGGTGCCACAGGGATTGTTCTCCATGTGGGAGTAAAACCAGTGCAATCACAGGGGTGACAAAGAGATTGCTCATGTGGGAATAAAACCAGTGCAATTCCAGGGGTGCCACAGGGATTGTTCTCCATGTGGGAGTAAAACCAGTGCAATCACAGGGGTGACAAAGAGATTGCTCATGTGGGAATAAAACCAGTGCAATTCCAGGGGTGCCACAGGGATTGTTCTCCATGTGGGAGTAAAACCAGTGCAATCACAGGGGTGACAAAGAGATTGCTCATGTGGGAATAAAACCAGTGCAATTCCAGGGGTGCCACAGGGATTGTTCTCCATGTGGGAGTAAAACCAGTGCAATCACAGGGGTGACAAAGAGATTGCTCATGTGGGAATAAAACCAGTGCAATTCCAGGGGTGCCACAGGGATTGTTCTCCATGTGGGAGTAAAACCAGTGCAATCACAGGGGTGACAAAGAGATTGCTCATGTGGGAATAAAACCAGTGCAATTCCAGGGGTGCCACAGGGATTGTTCTCCATGTGGGAGTAAAACCAGTGCAATCACAGGGGTGACAAAGAGATTGCTCATGTGGGAATAAAACCAGTGCAATTCCAGGGGTGCCACAGGGATTGTTCTCCATGTGGGAGTAAAACCAGTGCAATCACAGGGGTGACAAAGAGATTGCTCATGTGGGAATAAAACCAGTGCAATTCCAGGGGTGCCACAGGGATTGTTCTCCATGTGGGAGTAAAACCAGTGCAATCACAGGGGTGACAAAGAGATTGCTCATGTGGGAATAAAACCAGTGCAATTCCAGGGGTGCCACAGGGATTGTTCTCCATGTGGGAGTAAAACCAGTGCAATCACAGGGGTGACAAAGAGATTGCTCATGTGGGAATAAAACCAGTGCAATTCCAGGGGTGCCACAGGGATTGTTCTCCATGTGGGAGTAAAACCAGTGCAATCACAGGGGTGACAAAGAGATTGCTCATGTGGGAATAAAACCAGTGCAATTCCAGGGGTGCCACAGGGATTGTTCTCCATGTGGGAGTAAAACCAGTGCAATCACAGGGGTGACAAAGAGATTGCTCATGTGGGAATAAAACCAGTGCAATTCCAGGGGTGCCACAGGGATTGTTCTCCATGTGGGAGTAAAACCAGTGCAATCACAGGGGTGACAAAGAGATTGCTCATGTGGGAATAAAACCAGTGCAATTCCAGGGGTGCCACAGGGATTGTTCTCCATGTGGGAGTAAAACCAGTGCAATCACAGGGGTGACAAAGAGATTGCTCATGTGGGAATAAAACCAGTGCAATTCCAGGGGTGCCACAGGGATTGTTCTCCATGTGGGAGTAAAACCAGTGCAATCACAGGGGTGACAAAGAGATTGCTCATGTGGGAATAAAACCAGTGCAATTCCAGGGGTGCCACAGGGATTGTTCTCCATGTGGGAGTAAAACCAGTGCAATCACAGGGGTGACAAAGAGATTGCTCATGTGGGAATAAAACCAGTGCAATTCCAGGGGTGCCACAGGGATTGTTCTCCATGTGGGAGTAAAACCAGTGCAATCACAGGGGTGACAAAGAGATTGCTCATGTGGGAATAAAACCAGTGCAATTCCAGGGGTGCCACAGGGATTGTTCTCCATGTGGGAGTAAAACCAGTGCAATCACAGGGGTGACAAAGAGATTGCTCATGTGGGAATAAAACCAGTGCAATTCCAGGGGTGCCACAGGGATTGTTCTCCATGTGGGAGTAAAACCAGTGCAATCACAGGGGTGACAAAGAGATTGCTCATGTGGGAATAAAACCAGTGCAATTCCAGGGGTGCCACAGGGATTGTTCTCCATGTGGGAGTAAAACCAGTGCAATCACAGGGGTGACAAAGAGATTGCTCATGTGGGAATAAAACCAGTGCAATTCCAGGGGTGCCACAGGGATTGTTCTCCATGTGGGAGTAAAACCAGTGCAATCACAGGGGTGACAAAGAGATTGCTCATGTGGGAATAAAACCAGTGCAATTCCAGGGGTGCCACAGGGATTGTTCTCCATGTGGGAGTAAAACCAGTGCAATCACAGGGGTGACAAAGAGATTGCTCATGTGGGAATAAAACCAGTGCAATTCCAGGGGTGCCACAGGGATTGTTCTCCATGTGGGAGTAAAACCAGTGCAATCACAGGGGTGACAAAGAGATTGCTCATGTGGGAATAAAACCAGTGCAATTCCAGGGGTGCCAAAGGGATTGTTCTCCACATGGGAGTAAAACCAGTGCAATTCCAGGGGTGCCAAAGGGATTGTTCTCCATGTGGGAGTAAAACCAGTGCAATTCCAGTGGTGGAACAGGGATTGTTCTCCATTGGGAATAAAACCAGTGCAATTCCAGGGGTGCCAAAGGGATTGTTCTCCATGTGGGAGTAAAACCAGTGCAATTCCAGGGGTGCCAAAGGGATTGTTCTCCATTGGGAATAAAACCAGTGCAATTCCAGGGGTGCCAAAGGGATTGTTCTCCATGTGGGAGTAAAACCCGTGCATTTCATCCCTGTGCTCCACAGTCCCTGACAGAGGAGAGGATCTCTCAGCTCCTGCAGCTCATCGGGGAGGAGCTGGAGCACAAAGGAGCAGAGGCAGAGAAGCCTCCTGGGAAGTTCTCCACGGAACTGCTGCAGGTGCAGGTTCCTGCCTGCGTCCTGGCGCTGTGTGGCTGGACCTGCAGGTGGGCAGGGCAGGCCTGGGGTGTCCCTCACGCTCTGGGCTGCCCGTGGGAGCTCTTGGAGGCTGGAGGGATGTGGAGTGTTCCTCCTGTGGAATGTTCAGCACCCCTTTTTTCACTGTTTCCCCTCTTTTTCACCATGCTTCTGCCTACCTGATTTTATTTTCCCATTTTCTCTCTTTTTCACCACTCCCCTGTTTCCTTTGTTGTCACTATTGTCCAATTTTCCCTCTTTTTCACTATTCCCCTTCTTCTTTTGTGTCCCTATTGTCCAATTTTCCCTCTTTTTCACTATTCCCCTTCTTTTTTTCACGAGGATCCTGCTTCCCTTATTCAGCCATTTTCCCACTTTTCCACACATTCCCACTTCCCTTATTTTACCACTTTTTTCCCTCTTTTCCCCCCCTGTCCCTGCTTCCTGGCAAGGCAGAACACAACTGATCCAGTTTAAATCCACATCAAAAATGGGATTCAGTGGATTATTTCCCTGACTTTTCCAAGGCCAGGCTTATCCCTGACCACCTCTGACTTTCCCCATCCCTGGAAGTGTCCAAGGCCGGGTTGGATGGGCTGGGAGCAACCTGGGACAGTGGGAGGGGTCCCTGCCCCTGAGGGGTTGGAGTGAGATGGGCTTTAAGATCCCTTCCAACCATCCTGGGATCCCACGAGGATCCCATGAGGATCCCATGAGGATCCTGTGAGGATTCCATTAGGATCCCCATGAGGATCTCATAAGGATTCTGTGAGGATTCCATGAGGATCTTATGAGGATTTCCATGAGGATTCCCATAAGGATTCCATGAGGATCTCACGAGGATCCCATGAGGATTAAATCCACATCAAAAATGGGATTCAGTGGATTATTTCCCTGACTTTTCCAAGGCCAGACTTATCCCTGACCTTTCCCCATCCCTGGAAGTGTCCAAGGCCGGGTTGGATGGGCTGGGAGCAACCTGGGACAGTGGGAGGGGTCCCTGCCCCTGAGGGGTTGGAGTGAGATGGGCTTTAAGATCCCTTCCAACCATCCTGGGATCCCACGAGGATCCCATGAGGATCCCATGAGGATCCTGTGAGGATTCCATTAGGATCCCCATGAGGATCTCATAAGGATTCTGTGAGGATTCCATGAGGATCTTATGAGGATTTCCATGAGGATTCCCATAAGGATTCCATGAGGATCTCACGAGGATCCCATGAGGATCCCAGAGGATCCTGTGAGGATTCCATGAGGATCTTATGAGGATTTCCATGAGGATTCCCATAAGGATTCCATGAGGATCTCACGAGGATCCCATGAGGATCCCAGAGGATCCTGTGAGGATTCCATGAGGATCTTATGAGGATTTCCATGAGGATTCCCATAAGGATTCCATGAGGATCTCACGAGGATCCCATGAGGATCCCAGAGGATCCTGTGAGGATTCCATGAGGATCTTATGAGGATTTCCATGAGGATTCCCATAAGGATTCCATGAGGATCTCACGAGGATCCCATGAGGATCCCAGAGGATCCTGTGAGGATTCCATGAGGATCTTATGAGGATTTCCATGAGGATTCCCATAAGGATTCCATGAGGATCTCACGAGGATCCCATGAGGATCCCAGAGGATCCTGTGAGGATTCCATGAGGATCTTATGAGGATTTCCATGAGGATTCCCATAAGGATTCCATGAGGATCTCACGAGGATCCCATGAGGATCCCAGAGGATCCTGTGAGGATTCCATGAGGATCCCATGAGGATTCCATGGGGATTCCATTAGGATCCCATGAGGATCTCACAAGGGTCCCATGAGGACCCCATGGGGATTCCCATGAGGATTCCATGAGGTTCCTATGAGGATCCCATGAGGACCCTATGAGGATCCCATGAGGATCCTGTGAGGATTCCATGGGGATTCCTATGAGGACCCCATGAGGATTCACATGAGGATTCCATGGGGTTTCCATGAAGATCCCATGAGGATCCCTTGAGGATCTTATGAGGATTCCCATGAGGATTCCATGAGGACCCCCTGAGGACCCTGTGAGTGTCCTGTGAGGACCCCATGGGGATTCCATGAGGATCTCATGAGGACCTCATAAGGACCTCATGAGGATCCCATGAGGATTGCATGAGGTTCCTATGAGGATACCATGAGGATCCCATGAGGACCCTATGAGGATCCTGTGAGGATTCCATGAGGATCCCATGAGGATTCCATGGGGATTCCATTAGGATCCCATGAGGATCTCACAAGGGTCCCATGAGGACCCCATGGGGATTCCCATGAGGACCCCATGAGGATCTCATAAGGACTCCATGACGATCCTATGAGGACCCCATGGGGATTCCCATGAGGATTCCATGGGGTTTCCATGAAGATCCCATGAGGATCCCTTGAGGATCTTACGAGGATTCCCATGAGAATCCCATGAGGACCCCCTGAGGACCCTGTGAGTGTCCTGTGAGGACCCCATGGGGATTCCATGAGGATCTCATGAGGATCTCATAAGGACCTCATGAGGATCCCATGAGAATCCCATGAGGGTCCCATGAGGATTCCATGAGGATTCCCATGAAGATCCCCATGAGGATTCCATGAAGATCCTCATGAGGATTCCCATGAGGATTCCATGAAGATCCCATGAGAATCCCTTGAGGATCTTATGAGGATTCCCATAAGGATCCCATGAGGATTCTGTGAGGATCTCATAAGGACCTCATGAGGATCCCATGAGGATTCCTACAAGGATCCCATGAGGATCCCATGAAGATCCCCATGAGGATTCCCACGAGGATCCCCTGAGGGTCCCGTGACGATCCCCATGAGGATTCCATGAAGATCCTCATGAGGATTCCCACGAGGATCCCATGAGGGTCCCCATGAGGATTCCATGATAATTCCCACGAGGATGCCACGAGGATCCCCTGAGGGTCCCGTGACGATCCCCATGAGGATTCCATGAAGATCCTCATGCAGGGGCCTTGGCCAGCTCCATGAGGGTCCCATGATGATCCCCATGAGGATTCCATGAGGATTCCCACGAGGATGCCACGAGGATCCCCTGACGTGGCTGTGTCCCTGCAGTGCTGCCTCGGGCTCCATGAACCTCCCGGTGATCACCTGCTCCCGCTGCATGAGGAAGGTGGGGCTGTGGGGCTTCCACCAGCTGGAATCTGCCGCAGCTCCAGAGCTGGATTCCTGTGGCTCCAGCAGCACCGCCCCGGCTGCTCCCGAGCGCTTCCCGCCCGTCCCCACGTCCCCACGCAGGATGCTGACACGGAGCCAGGACCCGGGGTCCGAGCAGGTACACCCTGGGGGCCTGGGCAGGGCAGGGCAGGGGCCTTGGCCAGCTCCAGGAGCTCCAGACCCCCCATCCACAGCCCATGGACATCCCTCATCCCTCTCTGGAAAGGGCAGGGACACTTGGCCAGCCCCAGGAGCTCCAGATCCCTCATCCACATGTGTCCAATGACATCCCCTATCCCTCTCTGGAAAGGGCAGGGACACTTGGCCAGCCCCAGGAGCTCCAGATCCCTCATCCACATCCCATGGACATCCCTCATCCCTCTCTGGGCAGGCCAGGGACACTTGGCCAGCTCCAGGAGCTCCAGATCCCTCATTCCTCTCTGGGCAGGAACATTTGGCCAGCTCCAGATCCCTCATTCACATCCAGTGACATCCCTCATCCCCCTCTGGGCAGGCCAGGGACACTTGGCCAGCTCCAGGAGCTCCAGATCCCTCATCCCTCCCTGTGCAGGGACACTTGGCCAGCTCCAGGAGCTCCAGATCCCTCATCCCTCTCTGGGCAGGGCAGGGACACTTGGCCAGCTCCAGGAGCTCCAGATCCCCCATCCACATCCAATGAACATCACTCATCCCCCTTTGAGCAGGGCAAGGACACTTGGCCAGCTCCAGGAGCTCCAAATCCCCCATCCATGTGTCCAATGACATCCTTCCTCCCACTGTGGGCAGGGCAGGGGCCCTTGGCCAGCTCCTGGAGCTCCAGATCCCCCATCCACATCCACGTGGTGGGAAGGGCTCCTGTGGGGTGGCTGAGGAGGCCTGGAGCAGGACAGGCCCCCCTGGGCCAGCCCAGCAGCTCCCCGCTCCCGTTTTGCCCCCGGCAGCACGAGAAGAGCCCATCCCCCGCCGTGGCCCGCCCGCGGGGCTGGGATTCCCCCAGCTCCATGGACAGGGGCGAGTTGGACGTGAGCAGCCCCGCGCTGCGCAGCCGCCCCGTGACGCGCAGCATGGGCCAGGGGGACACCATGGAGGTGCCCTCCAGCCCCGCGCGCAGGGCCAAGCGCGCGCGCCTCTGCTCCTCCAGCGGCTCGGTGAGTGCTGCCAGCGGCTGCTGCTCCTCGCCCAGGGGCTGCTCTGTCCCCGGAGCCTGCCCGGGGCTGGGCTTCGGGCACAGGGAGGGGCTCTGAGGTCCCTGCTGTGTCACCTCGTCGCTTGCAGGACGCTTCCTTGAGGAGCTTCTTTCACCCCAGCTCTCAGCACCGCGATTGGTGTCCCTGGGTGAGCGCTGGCGAGGCAGAGGAGTCCCTGGAGGGTGCTGAGAAGGAGCCTGGGAAAGCTGAGCCAGGCTGGCAAGCGGTGCTGAAGAGGCTCCTTGGCACCCAAAAATGTGACACAGTGCCCGACACAGAGCTGGTGGTGAGCACGGGGCATCCCAGCTTGTCCAGGCAGCAAAACTTTGGGATGTTTGGGATCAGTCCCAGCCAGGTGACAAGGACCAGGCTGCAGGGTGACCCTGGCGTTCCCACAGCCAGGCTCCATCCAAGGCTGGGTGCTGGAGCTGCTCGAGGGCTGCTGTAAATAACAGTGCTGCCCAAGATCTGGTGTCACTCGTGTCCCCAGAGCTGCTCTCTGCTCCCACCCCAACTCCTGCCAGGTTTGCTGAGGCCACAGCTCCCTCCCCGCGTGGCTGTGCTGCCTCCCTGGCTCTCATCATGCCCTGGGATTCCTCCTGCCAGCTCCTTCCTGCCCCTCTGGGAGCTCAGGGCGTGGTGGAGCATTCCCCCTTCGGTTTGTCCTGGGCTGTTTGTGTGGTTGGTGTCCCCACAGGTCCCTTCCAGTGGGAGGTGTCCCTGTCCCCAGCAGGGGCTGGAGCTGGCTGGTCTTTAAGGTCCCTTCCAACCCAACCCAACCCATTCCATGAGTCCGGGTCTCTGCCGTGTGCCAGGAAAGCTCCAGATGGTCCAGCAGGACCAGCCACAAGTCACCGGCACCAGACCCAGCCGGAGCAGGGGGTGGCTGGAGCCCCTTCCTGAGTTTTGGGTTCCCTTCCTGAGTTTTTGGAGCAGGGGATGGCTGGAGCCCCTTCCTGATTTTTGGGTTCCCTTCCTGAGTTTTGGGTTCCCTTCCTGAGTTTTGGGATTCTTTTCTGCTTTTTGAGTTCTCTTCCTGCGTTTTGGAGCCCCTTTGTTCTTTTTGAGTTCCCTTTGTGCTTTTTGGGTTCCTTTCTTGCTTTTTGCATTCCCTTTGTGCTTTTTGGGTTCTCTTTGTGCTTTTTGCATTCATCTCTTGCTTTTTGGGGTCCCTGTCTTGGTTTTTGGGGTCCTTTCTTGCTTTTTGGGATCCCTTCCTGCTTTTTGGGTTCCTTTCTTGCTTTTTGGGGTCCCTTTGTGCTTTTTGGGATCCCTTCCTGCTCTTTGGGTGCCCTTCCTGCTTTTTGCATTTCCTTCCTGCTTCTTGGGTTCCCTTTGTGCTTTTTGGGTTCCCTTTGTGCTTTTTGGGTTCTCTTTGTGCTTTTTGTATTCCTTTCTTGCTTTTTGGGGTCCCTGTCTTGGTTTTTGGGTTCCTTTCTTGCTTTTTGGGGTCCCTTTGTGCTTTTTGGGATCCCTTCCTGCTCTTTGGGTGCCCTTCCTGCTTTTTGCATTTCCTTCCTGCTTCTTGGGTTCCCTTTGTGCTTTTTGGGTTCCCTTCCTGCTTTTTGCATTCCCTTTCTTGCTTTTTGGGTTCCTTTCTTGCTTTTTGGGTTCCCTTTGTGCTTTTTGGGTTCTCTTTGTGCTTTTTGTATTCCTTTCTTGCTTTTTGGGGTCCCTGTCTTGGTTTTTGGGTTCCTTTCTTGCTTTTTGGGGTCCCTTTGTGCTTCTTGGGTTTCCTTCTTGCTTCTTGGAGTCCCTTCCTGCTTTTTGGGTTCCCTTCCCACTTTTTGGGCTCCTTTCCTGCCTTTTGGGTTCCTTTCCTGCAGTTTCTGGGGCCTTTCCTGCTTCTTGCTGTAGTCTCCTCATTCTCCCCTCCAGCTATCAAATTGTGATCCCAGAAATCACGCCCAGACTGCAGCCCTGGCAGCCAGCTGGGACATTTTGGGTGTTTTTTCCCCGCAGTTTCTCCTGGTGCCCTTTGCCAGTGGCACCTGCAGATGCTGCTGCAGCACCTTGACCTGTACCCGCTGCTGTGTTCCCATCTTTTCCAGAGCCTCTCGGAGAAATCCTGCAAGGTGTTCCGCATTTTCCGCCAGTGGGAGAGCATCAACTCCTCCTGAGCCCGTGGAGGGCAGCGGGGGGAGAGCCCCAGAGCCCTGGTGGCTCCTGCAGCAGCTCCGTGCCCCGGGCAGGGCACCCAGGGGGGCTCCGTGCCCGCGCTGCCACCCCTTCCCTGGCATCCTTCAAACTGCTGCTGTGTCCCTCCCCGGGGCCTGAGGGGTGACAAGGGGACACTGTCACCTCCCCATGGCCCGGGAGTGACGCCAGGTGGGAATAAACATTTCATTTTTGTTGTTTTTTGGGGTTTTTTTCTTTTTCCTTCCTGCTGGCGCGGTGGTTTTGGGTAGGAGGAGCTCTGGGGCTGGGGTGGCTCCTGGATCCCTCAGGATTCTTGTCCTTATGGGCTCAATGTCCTGCTGCCTCCCTGTTCCCCACCCCACATTTTGTTGTCTCCTTTGCCTGTTGTGGGTTTTTTCCATGGATCCTTCCATTGTCCTTATGGGATCAATGTCCTGCTGCCTCCCTGTCCCCCACCCCACATTTTGTTGTCTCCTTTGCCTGTTGTGGGTTTTTTCCATGGATCCTTCCATTGTCCTTATGGGATCAATGTCCTGCTGCCTCCCTGTCCCCCACCCCACATTTTGTTGTCTCCTTTGCCTGTTGTGGGTTTTTTCCCATTGCCTCAATCCCTGTCCCTCTGCTGATGGCCAGTTTGGGGTGACAAATCCCCCTGGTTGGAGGGTGGCATTCCCAAAACCTGGGAAGAGGGGAGGCTTGGGCTGCTGGGAAGAAGGGAGAGGTGCCATCTCCATCCTCGAGGATGTTGGGAAGGGCTGGGATTCCACAGACACCCTGGATCTCCTCCCTCCAGCTCTGGTGTGGCTGGAGGCACAGGGATTTGCCATTTAATTTTTATTTTTTTTGGAGGCAAGGATCTCCTGCCTCCATTTCCCCAGCCCCATCGCCGAGGTTTCCCCCGGATGGATTTTGGGATTCTGGCTGCCCTGTGCCTGGGAATGCACTCAGGGCTGATCCTGGCTCTCCCTGAACCCCAAAACTTGGGGGTGCACTGCCCACCTCCACCCTGGCACAGCTGGATCTCCTCCCTCCAGCTCTGGTGTGGCTGGAGGCACAGGGATTTGCCATTTCATTTAATTTTTTTTTTTTTTGGAGGATCTCCTGCCTCCATTTCCCCAGCCCCATCGCCGAGGTTTCCCCCGGATGGATTTTGGGATTCTGGCTGCCCTGTGCCTGGGAATGCACTCAGGGCTGATCCTGGCTCTCCCTGAACCCCAAAACTTGGGGGTGCACTGCCCACCTCGGGGCTTCTCCTGGCATCCAGCATTTCGGGATCCCAGGGGAAGCAGCAGGGCCTGAATTTGGGTGGATTCCCTTCTTTCCCTAATTACAGAGCCCTAACGAGGGGCTGCTGCACCCCGTGGCCCTGGGGGCTGGGAGTTGGGGTGGAAAGGGGGATCCCCCAATCCAGAGGGGCTGGGATGGGCATGGAAGAGCCCCCATCCCCAGCAGCCCCCGTGCTTCCCCCATTCCTTCTTCTCCCTGGAACTCTGCTTTCCCCATTTCCAGAGGTTTCCAGCTGTTCCCTTTGGCTCCCTCTCTTCCCTACATTCCTTTTCCACGGATTCTCGTGGTTCCCCCCATCTCTGATCAGGGAGCCACCCCACAAATCACGGGATGATGTTCCCATTCCGTGTGGGAATGCCCAGCCACGACCCCTCCATCCCCATTTCCAGACCCAGGGGTGCTCAGGGGACCCCCAAAATTCCCTCAGCACCCCCAGGGGATCCCCAAAATTCCCTCAGCACCCCCATTCCAAGGTTTGGGTGCTGCTCAGGGGATCCCCAAAATTCCCTCAGCACCCCCATTCCAAGGTTTGGGTGCTGCTTGGGATCCCCAAAATTCCCTCAGCACCCCCATTCCCAGGTTTGGGTGCTGCACGAGTGGCCTGGAGGTATTCCAAAAAGGAACAGGGTGCTGTGTAGCCCCTGATATCCTGGAATAATCCCCGGTGTTTCAAAACTGCTCTTTCACAGAAACATCCCAAAAAATTACTGTAAAATCCTTTTTTTTTCCCCTGTCCAGTCCTCCCAGTTGCTTGGAACCAGCCAGGGAATATTGTGGCCTGCGAAATAGAGGCTCCTCCAGCCCAAGTTTTCCAACAGAACCCCATTCCCCTGCCAAATCCCCCCTGGAATGTGGGGTGTGGATTTGGGTGGAACAAAAACATCCCAAAAAATTACTGTAAAATCCTTTTTTCTTCCCTGTCCAGTCCTCCCAGTTGCTTGGGACCAGCCAGGGAATATTGTGTCCTGGGAAATAGAGGCTCCTCCAGCCCAAGTTTTCCAACAGAACCCCATTCCCCTGCCAAATCCCCCCTGGAATGTGGGGTGTGGATTTGGGTCCCCTCAGGTGGCGTCACCCCTTCCCTGCCAAACCCTGGGCGTGCCGGGGCAGTAAATGGAGGAGTTTTTTTGGGATTCTTTGGCTGTGTCTCCTCCCCACAGCGGGAGGAAGCCCCGGGGCAGGGTGATGGGATGATGCCGGGGTCAGGAATGCGGGGCGGGGAGGTTCCACACTGGAATCCCATCAGGGGAGACACCCATGGGTGCCGTCATCATCCGCCCGGGGAAACTGAGGCACCGGGAAATGCTTTGCCGGTGTCCCAGCGGAAATCCGGAGCGGTGACTCCTGCTCTGGGGCCTGGCCGGCTGCCGCGTTCCCGCCTGGATTGAGCAGGATTCCTGCCTGGATTGAGCGGGATTCCCGCCTGGATTGAGCGGGATTCCCGCCTTGATCGAGCAGGATTCCTGCTTGGATTGAGTGGGATTCCTGCCTGGATTGAGGAGGATTCCTGCCTGGATTGAGGAGGATTCCCGCCTGGATTGAGCAGATTCCCGCCTGGATTGAGCGGGATTCCCGCGGGATTCCTGCCTTGATCGAGCGGGATTCCCGCCTGGGCCTGGATTGAGCGGGATTCCTGCCTGGATTGAGCGGGATTCCCGCCTGGATTGAGCGGGATTCCCGCCTGGATTGAGCAGGATTCCTGCCTGGATTGAGGAGGATTCCTGCCTGGATTGAGCGGGATTCCCGCCTGGGCCTGGATTGAGCGGGATTCCCGCCTGGATCGAGCAGGATTCCCGCCTTGATCGAGCGGGATTCCCGCCTGGGCCTGGATCGAGCGGGATTCCTGCCTGGATTGAGCGGGATTCCCGCCTGGATCGAGCAGGATTCCCGCCTGGATCGAGCGGGATTCCTGCCTGGATTGAGCGGGATTCCCGCCTGGATCGAGCAGGATTCCCGCCTGGATCGAGCGGGATTCCCGCCTGGATTGAGCAGGATTCCTGCTTGGACTGAGTGGGATTCCCACCTGGATCGAGCGGGATTCCTGCCTGGGCCTGGATCGAGCGGGATTCCTGCCTGGATTGAGCAGATTCCCATCTGGATTGAGCGGGATTCCCGCCTGGACTGAGTGGGATTCCCGCTTGGATGGAGCGGGATTCCTGTGAGCACGCCCCACATGCTGTGGGGTGCTTCCCTGACAGGAACTTGCTTGGATCGAGTGGGATTCCCGCCTGGATTGAGTGGGATTCCCGCCTGGACTGAGTGGGATTCCTGCTTGGATTGAGGAGGATTCCCGCCTTGATCGAGCGGGATTCCTGCTTGGATCGAGTGGGATTCCCGCCTGGATTGAGTGGGATTCCCGCCTGGACTGAGTGGGATTCCTGCTTGGATTGAGGAGGATTCCCGCCTTGATCGAGCGGGATTCCTGCTTGGATCGAGTGGGATTCCCGCCTGGATTGAGTGGGATTCCCGCCTGGACTGAGTGGGATTCCCGCCTGGATCGAGCGGGATTCCTGTGAGCACGCCCCACATGCTGTGGGGTGCTTCCCTGACAGGAACTAGGGGAATAAAGGGGTGTGAGAACGCGTGGGGAACGAGGGAGATGCTGGGAATAGGGGGAGCCGTGGGGAATTGTGGAAAAACTGGAAACGGGGGAGCCGTGGGGAAGGCCCTGACAGAGGTGCACCCCGTATTGTATGAGGTGGTTCCCTGGCCGTGGTGGGAAGGGGCAGAGTGGAAATGGGGGGATAAAGAGGAGCGTCGGAATCCCTGGGGAACGGGGAGGAGTGCGGGAAACCTTGGAAAAGGAGGAACTGGCGCTTGCGGGGCCTCGAACCCGCGGCCCACCCGTCACCGCCCCTCCCGCAGAACTACACCTCCCGGCGTGCCTCGGGGCCGCCGGAGCGTTGAGGGCGCGGCCAATGGCAGAGCGGCGGGGCGGTGACGTCACCGCGGGTGACGTCAGGGGTCCAGAGAGAGGCTGGGGCAGAGGCGGCCGGAGCGGCTGAGGGAGCGCGAGCGGCGGGGGGGCCCTGTCGGCGACAGCGGCGGCGACAGCGGCGACAGCGGCGGCCACAGCCACAGCGGCGGCTTCCAGCGCCTCGCGGCCCGGCGTTTGCCCCGCTCCCCTCGGCGCCGGG